CAAAATTCCACTTCTTCATGTCTTCTCTACATCAACATGTGTCCCCTCTGTGTAAAGAGACTCTGAAAGTTTCAGGGAACAAAGATTCTCTCTCTTTTTGTCCTGATCCATTTTATATAAAAACCTGTCTGAAAATGAGCTGATCAGATTTTGGCCACTTTATGATGTCATGACGATGTTTTGTCTTGTGTAACCATTAGCCAATCAGCAACCAAGGTACCCCCCCCCCCATCACCTGAATCTCCTCCTAGAGCACCATTGAGTTCTTTTTAACCAAATCTCTCTCAGAGGGGATTGGGGAGGGGCTCCTTATTTTTAATCTAAAGTAACAGACAGAGAATCAGCACTTTGGAAACAGGGCTGAAACAGAGGGGATTATGGGTAATGCTGCAATGATCTGTTTGGTGTTTGGAGCCAAACACTTCAGAGACATGTTTTGTATATATCTGAGACCTATAATATATTGATGAAAAACAGTATAATAGGGACCTTTAATGAAACTGATGGATAATCTCCCCTCTGCTTCCTAGCTGTCAATCAGGAGAAGCAGTCTTTCCGTGAGCCGATCTCTTGGAAGTATCCGGAGCCGCCTGCTGAGGAACAGCCCAAGTACCCTCAAGATTTTCAGCTGAAGACCCCGGTGGCGTTTGACAGTGTCAGTGCCGTCTGCGGGGCGAACTCCGTCCGAGTCGAGGCCAAGAAAGACCTGCTGGGGATCGGGAAACCTGTCCGCGCTGCAGAAGTCACGCTGGGAGGATGTCCAGCCACCGGGGAAGATGCTCAGGTCCTCGTGTTTGAGTCGGAGCTGCACGGATGTGGCAGCGAGCTCGTGGTGAGGCTTGAAAGAGGGAGTTCACACAAAGATCACAATGTATATTTCTCCTTGCTTTTGCTGTGTTTTCTTTTTTTTGTGTGTGGAAACAGACTGTACCAGAACATAAATGTAAAACCAAAATTAGGAGATCAAATGGGCTTCAGAGCAGCTTAGTCGATGACCATTTTTACAACCACCAAGCATTTTATTTACAAAGATGTTGTCAAAACCAAAGATGAATGGAATGTTTTCTCAGCCTTTACCCCGCAGTAACCTGTGTTTCAGATCTCGGAGGACTCGTTCATCTACGCCTTCACCCTGCACCACATACCCGCTCCTCTTGGGGACAGTCAGATCATTCGGACCAGAGAGGTCACCGTCAGCATCCAGTGCCAATACCAGAGGTCAGATGTTACACAATGGTGAACCAGAAAGATTTTCCATTTGTCAATAATGGAAGAATCTCATTTTATTGAATGACTGTCAGTGCCATCCCACGGACTGTGCAGTAACTCATTATATGACATTTAATTTGGCTGATGCGATATTTGCAATCACCCATGAATATACAATACTAGAACAGCCAGAGTCCTGCAAGTACATTAGATTAAAATCAGCCAAACCATTGAGAAGACTGAGCAGACTGTTGCTTTGTGTGTAGGGGAAAAAATATGGCGTACCTTTTTGCAACTGAGCAAACTGGACTTTTTAGGGAAGGTAGCTTGAAGAGAAAGTCGCTAACATGAAGCTTTAAAGACAGAGGGTGACGTCAGGGATATTCAGACGGACAGTATGAGAAATGTAGTTTATTTTTGGACATCAAAGCCTTCACATAAGTATAAACCTAAAATCTATTGGCTCATAATTATTGTTGCGGTATGTTCATTTAGTTAATTTAATTACAGCTGGTAAAAGTGAAGCTTATTTGAAAGGCGTAGCTTTAACCATTTTGTTTTCTGATATTTATATTTTGGATAAGAAACCTGGAAGTTACTTGATCAAATATAGTCTAGAATTTTCAATCATTGCCACTGAATTGTAGTCGAGTGGATTGTCTTGACTTTGGTATTACCCTTTTTTAATACTACTCATACAATTATCCAAAAATGTTACCATGAATTGCAGTAAAAACGTTCTTGATGTCTGGACTTTTTGAAAATGTTTCAGAATAAAGATTTAAATGTCTCTTTTAAGGAAGCATGATGTAAGCAGCGTGCCGTTGAATCCGACATCGAGTCCGTTCAGTGCCACCAAATCTTCAGAGGAAACGCTCTTCTTCTCTTTAAGACTCATGAGTGGTGGGTGTTTCCTTTTCCAGCTTCATTCATTATATTAAGTAACTTTTCTTTTTAAGTAATGTCCTGTTGGTATATTTCCATGCTACTCAAACATTTCTATGACCAGTGATTTTTTTATTTCCTTTAGTGTAAAAATTGACATTCATGGAAGACGAGAAGTATATTAAAATACATAAAAGTAGCAATCGACTGTAAGCCAATACTTTATTACAAGTTTAGCATTTGAGATGGCTCATAAGTTCAGTAAGCAACAATCTCTAAATAGTAAAGTAAAATGACACATTGCAGTCCTTTTCCAAGTGGTAAATAATGTTAATGTAGTGAAGTTGACGCATTTAATAAAACAAAAGTACTTAAATACACCATTTTAAACAGTTGGTTTCTTATAATAGGAAACATTGTTTGAGTATTTTGTTAGATTGCCAGTAAAATAAAGGTTTATTCTTTGCCTCAGATGATTGGCAGTCGACCCATCCGTCCGCTCAGTTCCTGCTGGGAGACATGATGAAGTTTGAAGTTTCAGTCAGACAGTTTCATCACGTCCCCCTCAGAGTGATGGTGGACAGCTGTGTGGCCACCGTGATCCCGAACATCGACACCGTCCCCCGATACGCCTTCCTTGGAAATAACGGGTCAGTATAAATACACTCTTTGAAATCTTAGTTTCACCCTTGTGTTCGAAAGCTTTTACCGTTGTCTAAAGTCAAAGATGAATCTTGATTGGGCCAAATTATACATTTTTTTTTTTTTTTATAGAGTCCCTCAGACTTGACTAAAATTGTCAAAATCAGTTTTGTAGTGTTTATATAGCTGTGGTGGAGGATATCCTGAAGCCTTGCTCCGATTTAAAATAAAAAACTAGAGCATAGTTATTATATCATTTTAACTTGTCACGGGAGACCTGAACACAACATAAGGTTTAACAAAAGTAAGACCATCAAGAAAATGCAATTCTTGTGCAATGCATTACAAACAAAAGTTGATGTGAATAGTTATAAGGGCACAAATACTTAGAAATGTCCTTTAGTGATATAGGAGACATTTTGTGTTTTTGAAGTGGCAACTTTTTTGCATAATCACAGATTTTTTTTTTTTTCAATTGGGGAGAAAGGAATATTAATTATGACTGCATATTTTTAACTTTTTGGTTTACATGTTTAGACTGTGAGTGACAGTTACCTGTATTGCTTTCAGGTGTCAGTCTTAAAGCCCTTCTAGGTGTTCAGGTTTCTTGTATGTAATAATTTTGCATTCAGATGTCTTGTCCTGTGTTGTGTTCAGGTGCCTATTTGACAGTCAGCTAACCGACTCCAGCTCTCAATTCCTCCCACGGGCGTATGAAGACAGACTGCAGTTTCAGGTCGAGGCGTTCAAGTTTCAACAGGAAGGGAGTGGCGTGGTGAGATTTAAATATCGCACAATTCCTGTTTTTATATAAGACGATAGCTGTTTTCTAAGAAGACACTTGAATGAACACCTCCTGTGCATTAGATCTACATCACCTGCAATGTGAGAGCTGCTGTAGCTTCTGCCGCTGTTGATGCCACCAATAAGGCCTGTTCCTTCTCCAACGGGTAAGTCTCTATCAACACTACAACTCCCATCATCCTTTTTTCTGAAACACTACAAAATCCATAAATCTGAGGGTTTGAATGACTTCGATGTGACATGTTTGCCTGTTGAAGTTCTAAGTCAAAGCGAAATCTATCACCTTGCTTTGGATTCTTATTTGCCACATTTTAGAAACTGTATCAGTAGTAAGGGGCAGAGCTTTTGATTGACAGGTGGACGGAGGCCAGCGGCAACCATCGAGCGTGTTCCTGCTGTGATACAGACTGTAGGACAGGAAGTCACATGACTGGATCCGGTGAGGATGGATAACTTTGATATATTACTGACTTTCTAAGCTCCTTTATAAATGATTACCTTAATGTTCTATTATAACATTTGACAACCCTCAACTGAATTATCCTTAACCAATATTATCCATTATAACAAGTTTGTGCAAAATGTCAAGTTAAAATAATTAGACATGGCCTTTCATTTGGAAACTAATTTATTTTCTATGTTAAGTTGTGTCTACTTTCAATAATACAACATTTATGGATGTTTTTTAGAAGGTTAACAATGTAAATTCGACAGACTTAAAAAAATAAATAATAAGCTACCTACTTTCGTAGTAGACTTTTAGCTTTTCAGGTGAAAATGTAGGAGGATGTTTGTATTAAACTACGCTGAAGGTCCCTCAACCTATTTACTTAGATAATCCAATACATTATGGGATACCTTTTTTTACTAAATGGGTTTTTTTGAGGTACAAATGGGAGGCTGTGATGTTTAATAATCATTAAGGGTGTCATGTTTCTGTGTTGCAGAGGCTCAGTGGGAACAGGAAAAAGCTGTTGGACCAATCACAGTGAACGAGAGACCTCAATGGTGAAAGTGCAAAATAAAAACTTTAAAATTTATTGAATGCTGTTAAAGACCTTTATTTCTTTTTGAAACCTCTGCTCATTGGAAGAAATCAAGACGAATCGGCAGTGATTTAACACAAGGTTGTTCAAATAGATTGGATAGATCTAAGAAATGGTAAACCAAGACCAAATACAATTCTTAAATGCATTGATGTAAATTATACATAAACATCAAACTTATGATCCCAACTCTAGCAAATATCAAACACCATAATAATGCTTAGGAAAATGTTTATGAAACCCACGGCTGCTACCCTTATTATAGGTAAATAAACACCACATTGATGCATCACATGCTGTATGAACTATACAATGGATCTGTAAACTGTAATGTTTCTTTCAATTTACATTTTTGCTGCAGGTATTTTACAGATCAGAACACTAAACATCTAAAAAGTAAGCAGATGAAAAATTATTTTTAAAATCACTTTTCTGAGATATTGGTGCAGAATAACACTTAAAATAAAATAATCAAACAATATGTATATTTAATTTGGCACATTCACAGAACAAACAAATGCTGCTCAGTCATCATGCAAAATGCACATTTTGATACATAAATGTGTCGGGGGAACTCACCAAGTGTCAGAAAATAAAACCTTCTCTCTTCCTCCGTAACCAAATCACTAAACGGAGGAACAACGGAGCTGATCCAGATTTGCATCCGATGACTTAATATCGGAAATGTGGGCTGGCTTTACACCCACGGCCCTATCCAAAACGTTGCTATCAGAAACAATGCATGATGTGTTTTGGAACTAATGTCTGTCAGCAAGCAGCGCTAACACTCAAAGCTAACATGTACTGGAGAGGGTATGTAAAAAAATAAAAAATAAATAAAAGATACTCAGCTAGTGGTAAACCCACGAGAAAAAGCATTTGAGCGCCATACTGTTTCAGAAATAATCGTTGTGAACAAATTATGGCATTTAATCACGTCAGCATTTAGCTGAGAATCTGCTAGCAGAGAATCTTTACAGAGAGGCCTCAATGCTTGACTTGCCGTGCTCAAAAGGGGGCGGGGCCAGCATCAGCCGAGTTCAAATTTAAAGCTACCGCCCCGGAATCAGCGTTTCTGTAACAGAGCTGGAAAAGAGGGACGTCTAAAATGCATGATCTGTTTGGTATTTTTGAGCAAAGCACAGACATGTTTTTCAAACCCATAATATATGCCTACAAATAGTATGATAGGAGACCTTTAAGGCAGGAAATGCAGCCATTAGAATGAACTGGATATTCTGAAAATCGTAAAATCTGTAAATAATAGAAGTAAGTATCAGAGAAAAACAAAATCAAATGGTTGTTCTACTCAGTGTGATTGACAGGAGAGAGGAGCAGAGTTTTACCACCATCATTAAGACAGGGACTAAAGAATGGGTAGAGTTTCTCTTTGAAGCAGCAGCCAGTGAAGGAGTAGATCAGAGCTGCATCAACATCATAAAAGGAGACCAGACCCTCCTCATAATCCACAAACACCCCCACCTTCTCAGGCTGAGACTTCAGGGACAGACGGACTCCAGGACCAGCATGAGCTTCGTACTCATTTTCATTCCACAACCATATCGTCCAGTAACCTTCCTGAGGAGACGCTGTGATGTATTCCTTCCTGTTGATCGACTCTCTGACCACTCCTAAATCCCACTCAGTCTTCCCTTTAACCTGAACCTCGTAATAAAATCTTCCTGAAGAGAAACTCTGCTTTGCTAAAGGACAAGCATCACATCTCTCTGGATTGTCTGGGAGATTATTCAACACTTCACCAAGTTTAAATTAAAATCAGCGGTTTGTGATCAGTCTCAGCTGTAAAAGTTGGTAAACCATAAACGTAACTGTGAAACTTTCCACACCCATACACTAGACCCAGTCTCCTTTTCAATTTGTGCATAGCGCGTCTCAGTCTCTGTCATTGTTCGTGACGCGTATGCCACCGGCTGCCATTTGTCTCCATTTGCTTGAAGGAGTAGGCTACAGCTCCCAATCCATCTTTAGATGCATCTGTAGAGATCTTTGTAGCTTTTGATGTATCAAAGAATGTAAGAACTGGCTCAGTAGTTAGAGTTTCCTTTAGTTTTTTCCATTCTTTTTCATTTGAAGCATTCCACTCAAAAACCTTGTTGTGTTGAAGCAGCTCTCTGAGGCATGTTGTCTTGGAGGAGAGATTAGGTATGAATTTACCCAGGAAGTTTATCACTCCCATCACTCGCAGGACTCCTTTCTTGTCAGTGGGAGGAGGCATGTCCAGTATTGCTTGCACTTTTGCCCGATCAGGCTCCACCCCCTCTCCTGAGATCTTGTCTCCCAAGAAGGTCATTTCTGTGACCCCAAAGTGACATTTATTTCTGTTCAATGTCAGCCCATTCACTTGGACTCTCTGTAGGAGATCTTTTAATCTTTAGTCATGTTCTTGACGTGTTTAACACTCGTGTGCCTTCCAGACCCTCTATTATGGACTCCATCGCCCTGTGGAAGACTTCTGGCGCTGAGATGATACCAAATGGAAACCTCAAAAAAAAAGTATCTCCCAAATGGCGTGTTGAGGTGCAAAGCTTGCTGCTTTCTGGGTCCAACTTCAGCTGCCAAAACCCCTGCGAAGCATCCATTTTGCTGAAATATGTTGCACCTGCCATTTCACAGGTTACTCCTCACGTTTTGGGATTTGGTAGTGTTCTCTTTTGATATTCTCATTCACATCCTTTGGATCAAGGCAGACTCTTAAGTCAGCAGTTTTCTTTCTTACACATGTGATGGAGTTCACCCAGTCAGTAGACTCCTCCACTCGCTCAATAACACCCAGTAGTGTCATCCTGTCAAGCTCTTTTTTTAAACCCGCTCGTAGTGGTGCTGGCACTCTTCTTGGGGCGTGCACTACAGGCTTGGCATCATCCTTGAGCTGGATCTTGTAAGTGTACGGGAAGGTCCCTTGTCCTTTGAAAACTGTTGGGAATTCCTTTACAATGTCAACTGTTTCAGCAAACTGCGTGTAGTTTGTATTTCTGCATTGTTTGTCCCCACTGTTTATTTGATAGATCCTCTTAACCAGTCCTAGGTCCTCTGAAGCTTTGTCTCCCAGGAGTGATTCATGTCCTTTAGGCACAAAGACAAACAACAGGCTGCACTGTTTGCCTTTCACTGTCAACTTGAGTCGGCATTGCCCTTTTGTCTCAATTGGCTGCCCGTTGTATGCCTTCAGTGGTTTGTTCTTTTCTGAGATACTTCTAGGTTTCTCTTTAAGTGCCTTGAGATCATTCACATTAATTAAATTATCTTTAACCCCAGTGTCAATCATAGTAAATGGCACAATTGTCCCATTTACTAGGGTTGGTGCAATCCATTTAATCTGATAAAGCATTTACAGTACCTTTTGGACTCTCTGAGCCGTCATTTTCGTCATGTGACACCATCTTGATGAAAAATGTTTCACTTAAATCATCACTGTCATCTGAGTCTTCAACTCTGTGCACCTTATTCCATTTTTTTTTCTCTCTGGAGAGGCACATCTTTGCATAATGATTTTGCACTTTGCACACATTTTCCCATAAGCAGGACATTGTCTTGGTGTGTGTTTTTCCCCACATCTCTTGCAGCTGAACAACTGTTCGTCATCATTCTTTTTATCTCTGTATATTTTCCACTGTTTTGTTTTAACTGACACAGCGTTCACTCCCTCTTCATGTTGGCTTGCTGCTCCATGTGCAGGTTCATTAAATGTCAGTACATGTTGGCGCGCTAGCTCACTGGCGTGGCATATTTTAATGGCGCTCTCCATAGTGAGTTCTGTTTCCCTCAATAATTTCTCTCTGATTTGTCCTGTCATTAGTCCCAAACACTATCTGGTCTCTAATCATAGAGTCTCTGAGATCATTG